CAGTGTGACATTTTGGCACAGAGGCTAATATTGTCTCAGTCAAATGTGGCAGGAGGGTGCTCCTGCCTGCACTGTGCTGCCTTGATCAAAGCACACCCCAAAGCCAAAAACTACTTGGGGGAAAAAGCTCCCAATATATGATTAGCTAGAAGTGTGGATGAGATCTAAGAGGAATCAGGGAACCAGTAAATAATCAGACCATGGATGGAGTTCAGATTTCCAGCAGGCTTACATTATGGCCTTTCACAACCTTTTAAAACATCTTTGCTCCAAAAACCCCATCTGAGAGGAAAAAAAGATAACCACAAAGCAAAACAGAGAAATGCCTACATTAGCATTTTTTTCCTGCCCTTTCAGCTGCCTAATGTGGTCCCTTGAATCCCTGGCATTAGCAGGCAAGAATATGCTTATTTTTGTGATAGTATGGATTTTTCTTTAAATGGAAAAACTTCAATTATCTAAGTTATTGCCAAACAGAACCATTTTCAAGAGGATCATTTTACAGCATGAAGCTTTGAGAATTGCACAGTAGAAAAATAATTTGTTATTCCTTGTGGTACTGCTGCTTGGGCTAAATTGACAAAAAGTTCATTTAGAGGGTAATGCATCTATTTCTAGTCTCTGCCTCCTCAAAGGAAGGCTGTTCTAGTCTGGGTGAGTGATTTCCTAGCTTGGCGTTTCCCCAAGATGCTTGGGAGCTTTGTTACATGATCATGGAGTTACTGACAGGCACCTTATGGGGGCAGCACGTCCTCTCTGTTTTTCAAATCTCCTTCATTAGACCCAGGTCCGCTTCCACATTGAATCAAAAAAAAAAAAAAGAAGAAAGCTATGTACACACTACAAACAGCATTATTCTGCTTATGCTATGCTAATTAACGAGGGGCTCAAGGCAAGTTGGTGATATCCCACTGTTATGGCTGGTGCTGTAGGAAATAATCCTGCCCTGCTTCACAGAGAGGGAAAAAACAGCTGAGCAAACCCACAGAATCAGGAAGATTGGGAAAGCCCCCAGGACCATTGAGTCCAACCATTCCATACCGAGCCCACTACTAACCCATGTCCCCAAATACCACACCTACACTTCTGTTAAATCCCTTCAGGGATGGAGACTCTGCCACTGCCCTTGGTAGCCTGTTCTAATGCCTGACTGCCCTTTCAGTGAATAATTTTTCCCTCATATACTGTGTAAAACCTTCCCTGGTGCAACTTAAGGCCATTTCCTCTTGTCCTGTCCCTTGTCCCCTGGGAGCAGAGCCCACCTTCAGCTGACCTCCCTCTCCTGTCAGGGAGTTGTAGAGAGTGACAAAGTCCCCCCCAAGATTCCTTTCCTCCACACTGAGCCCCAACAGCTCCCTCGGCCACTTCTGACACTCCAGCCCCTTCCCCAGCTGCATTCCCTTCTGTGGACATACTTCTGTCCCCCAATGCCCTTCTTGTCACAAAGGGCTCAAAACTGAAGCCAGGATTCATGCAAGGTGCTCAGGATGCCCATGGCTGGCAGTCAAGGAAGGGATAAATCACTGCAGGTGGCCTGCATCCAACTGCCATGCCTTTTCCATAAACTGAGTCATGTTCCCTTTTGCTCTGTTTGCCAGAGGGAGAGCTCTGATTTGAGGCAAAGAGGACAAAAAAGGACAGTAACTATGTATAAACACATGAGGAAAAACTGGTGAAAGTGGAAAGTCCCCTCTTCCAGCCCGTAATGAGGGACAGATTTATCAGGGTTCTTGCAGGAATAATGAGGAATGTTAGAAGAACAGGGAGATCTTGAAGAACCACAGAAGTGCAAATATACTTCATATATCAAGCTAAACAAAAGCAGAGGAAGGGGAAGTTGCTGAGCTAAAGACAAGACAGGTCTACAGGAAAGCAAAGATGCTCACTTCTCAACAGAGATTGTAAGGACAGCTTTATCAGGGCTGGTCTATAGTGGAGAGCAGCCTATCTCAGCCAAGGGAAGTGACCTAGATAAGGCAGCAAGAGCACAGCAATTCCATCCTGACACAGTCCCAGCAACACACAGCATAGTCACAGAACCAAGGAATCACAGAACTGTCATGGCTGGAAAAGTCCTCTCTAAGATCATTGAGTCCAACCATTAACCTGGCACTGCCACCACTAACCCATTGTCCACAAGTCACATCCACAGACTTTTAGAACACTCCTAGGGATCATGATTCCACCACTTCCCTGGACAGACTGTTCTAATGCTTATCACCACAAAGTCAGAGGTGATAATTTTAACTCCTATTAGTGCTTAAGCTCATAGAAGTACAGAATGGTTTGAATTGGAAATGACCTTAAAGATCATTCAGTTCCACACACCTGCCATGGGAGAGACACCTTCCACTAGACCTGGTTGCTCCAAGACCCATCCAGCCTTACCTTGATCATTTCCAGGCATGGGGCAGCCACAGTTTCTGTGGGCAACCTGTGCCACTGTTTCAGAGTGAATAACTTCTTCCTAAAAACCCTTCTAACCCTGCCCTTCTGTCACTGTGAAGCCATTGCCCCTTGCCCTATCCCTCCATACCTTTGTCTAAAGTCCTTCTACAACTCTTGGGAGCCCTTTTAAGCACCAGCAGGGCTCTAAGATCTCCCTGAAGCCTTCTCTTTTCCAGGCTGAACATCCTCAGCTTTCCCAGTCTGTCTGCAGAGACAGGCCCCAGCCCTCAGAGCCTCTCTGTGGCCTCCTCTGGACTTGCCAGGTCTGTGTGGGGACTCCAGAGCTGAAGGCAGCAGCACAGGTGGGTCCCCACAAGCAAAAGGACCAGGCCACCTCCCCTCAGCTGCTGCCACACTGCAAGATCAGCCCAAAATGCATTTGGCCTTGTGCACACTATTGTATGAGACAACATGGGCTAGTACCTTGGGCATGTATCTTTGTCTGATCTCAGACAAAATTCAGACCAAAATTCCTCTTTCTTAGACTGCTAATAGCAAAAGAACATTCAGTGTCAATCTCTTGTTACACTCTTAGCACAGCCAGGAATTCAGCAGAGCTGGTCCAACCTTGCAGTATGGAAAATCATAGGATCTTCATTAGTGTATCCCTTTTTGCAATGGAGCCTTGTTTGAAATAACTCTCTCCCTCCTCAGTGTTAGGGGGATTTTCAGTCTGCAGCTATGCTTTGATCTAGAACTTGATAATCAAAAACACTGCTTGGAAAAAGCTCTGCAAGAACTGACCCCCTCCAGTTCATGGAATCCTCAAAGGTGGATTCCAATGACATGTCACAAGTAGCTATAAAGAGCTTTTCTTGTTACTCATTTCCAGAGAAGTCACTGGAAACACAACCTTCATGTCAGCTAGCAGAACACACAGATACAAATCAACCCTACTAGGGGTGAGGAAAAGGGGAAGCAAGCAACACACCAGGTTTATCTTCCTCAGCAGGAGACTTTAAAATTCCATTGGCCACACCTGAAAAGGGCAAAGAGTAAGTTTGGCTTTCACCTTGGAGAACAGCATTGTGAGGCTGTGAAACTCAGCCAGCACTGATTGATCACCTCGATGGTTCACAGGACAGACCCAGCCCAAAAACAAGTTAAAACCTCCCTTGTTACTACAAGAGCCCACATGAACTTTTCAGCACTGTGAGCTATTTCTGCAGCACTTTGCAGTAGTAGAAGTCTGGGGACTCTGACAAGAATAATCACAGAGTGGTTTGAGTTGGAAGTGACCTTAAAGCTCATCTCATTCCAACTCCCCTGCCATGGGACAGGGACACCTTCCACTAAACCAGGTTGCTGGCTTGAACACTTCCAAGGATGAGGCAGCAAGAGCTTCTTTGGGCAGCCTGTGCCAGGGTCTCAACCACCCTCACATAGGAGGAATTTCTTCCCAATATCCAATCTAAATCTCTTCTTTAGGTTTACTGCCTATTTATAGAAGTTAATATTTGGCCCTCTTGTCACTCTTTTTTATGAAGCTCCCTTTTAAGTACTGAAGGGGCGGGAAGGATTTCTTCACCTGAGGACCAGGGATGCAATCCAGCATTTTCTGTTCTAGGCAGCAACAAAACCCAAAGAAATCTGCTGTAAGGGGCAATAGGGAATGTGCTTTCTGTAATCTGCTCAGTGGAGATCCACAGATGGAGGCTGCCTCAGCTCCTTGTACACTCCCAAGCAAAACCCCAACTTTAAACCACAAAGATTTGCTTAAACTATCCTGGCTGCCCCATGCAGGGAGCATGCAGATGGTAGAACAGAATTATTAAGCTTGGAAAAGACTTTTAAGATCAAGTCCAACCCTTAACCTAACTCTTCCAGGTCTACCACTATACACTTCCAGAGATGGTGATTTTGCTGTGAGTCTGCTTTGGTAGAGACAAACCATTTTTTCCCTGTAGGAGAAAAGGCACAACTGCAATCATACAAATTACTGCTGTAATACCAGCCACAAACCCTGCAACACTGAAGGGACCAAAGCAGCCCACTATTTTTGGCCAAGTTTATTTCTAGAAATTTGTACAAAAATTGATACTCTGTAATACAATAATCTATCAAATATGACAGATGAACATTTGTCTTTTGAGGCAAGATTCCAGGAATGTGAAGTACCATCCTCTTGCATGGAAGAAAGGCACATTTTAGAGCTCAAGATACACTCAACTGAACGGTTCAAAAGGCAGGTCAGACATGCAAGTAGTGCAGCGTTTCAGGTTTATACATAAACAATTTGTACTCCCAAGAAATCTCACTACAAGCAGCATTAACATCCACATAAACATTTTATAAATACTTTTAAAAGTAGCTCACTTTAGATCCTATGCGTGCAAAGGCTACTCCTTTACATTCACTGGATGGAGTAATTAGAAGCCGTCTTCAGGCCAGAAGTAACTCCTAGATTTCCCCAAATACTTCTGGGATCCAAAGCACTTGCATCAACTGCCCCACTGCATTTTCCCCCTAAGGTCTACCCTAAAAGTCTGCAACACCAGGGCAACACGACTGCATCATCCCACTGCTCCTAGAGCTTATCCTTGGAAGAAGAAGCCTCGTATTTCCAGCTACAAGCCTCTGTGCAAGCAGCACCTGGGACATACCTGCCTCTGAACTGACATCTTAAATACAGTGGTGAATTTACAGCCACAAAATCATCCACTGCACTATGGATCAAGCTTCACCTGACTCTCTCTGCACCATCCAGCACAGATGCCACACCAGGGGGGTTGACAGCCCAACAGTACTTCCAGAAAGGGCTTGTCCAAAGCAGAAATACCCTTGTACTATGTGAGCATGTCTCAACAGGGCTCCTGTGCAACACACCTGTAAAACTGCCACGCTGCTCAAATCAACCTGCTGCTTTTTAGATTGAAAACCAGATGAATCCTACTCTCCCAAAACTGCTTGTGCTAGTGGGTACAGTAGCTGTAGGAATTTTTCTAATTCATTGCTGGTGATCCAACAGCATTATACAGCAGATTACAAAGGCAATCATTTATCCAAATCCTCACAGCAATGGGGAGTTGTGCTTTTTTTTTTTTGTATAAAAAGATGTTTTAATGGGATTTCTCTAAAGCAAAGCCTTTATTATTTTTTAAGTGGTTTAGCAATACTTTAAGCACTTGCTTTGAAGAATACAGACATCCACACAGGCTTTCAAGTACACAGTGACAACTTGGACTCCTGGAAACGATGTGTTGGTTCTGAGAGGAGGAGGTGTTGCTGAGCCAGTGCCTTCAGTTGACTTCCAAGACCTCAGTCTCCGGCAGGCCAAATCTGCTCTTGAATTTGTCAAAGAGTTTGATCAGGGAGTCCACGTACATGCTATGGTAGAAGTCCACATCCTGCTGGGATGGATTATCAATTTTGGGGATGGTGATGGGCTCTCCAACTGATAAAAAAGGGACAAATCCATATTAGCTTAAATGCTCCTACAACCCAAGTTATTGGTCCTCTATGGACACAGCTATGGGTTCAGCACACCCATTCTGGCACAGCACAGTTTATAGCAGAGGTTTGCCTGATTCCCCACAGTTTTACCAGGCTCTGAAGCACAACTGTCCCACAACAAGGACACACACCAAATCTGCAGCAATACCAGATCTGCTTTAGCTTCACAAATGCATCTACTGTTCAAGGTGGCCAGGAAGTCCCCCTTCTGTTTACAGCAGAGTGATAAATCCCTCCTCAATTAACATGAGCCAAGAGTCAGTTCTTCTTAGGTATTCCCCTAAACACACCACAAAAGCAAAGCTGACCTTTTCCCCCTCCTCCCTTTAAAGCCCTGCTGCTTTGGTTTAGAAGACTCAAATGTAAGCTTTAGGGCTGGCTTTAAACACTCAGCTATCAGACATGCATCCCACTGGAATACGGGGGGGCCAGGTTACTTCTGACTTTAGCTATGCAAGGCCAAAGAAAGTAGAGCTACAGTCTTTTCCCCACAAAAAGAGCTCTCTTGCAAAATTGCCTGGAAGCAGAACATTGACTGAAGGCTTGTAACCTCTGGAAACTCTTCTAAGCTCATTCTCAGTTTTGCTGGAAGGTTTTTATTCCAGAGAGAAAGCCATTTTATAGTCAAGGTTCCAAAACTAAACTACAGCAGATGTACAGCATAGATTCAAGTATTCTGCTACCTAGAGAGGCACACAGCATGTTTATACCAAGATCTTACCAACAGTAGTGATGGGCTTGGAGTAGGGTAACAACCCCCAGGTGTTGGAGGAGAAGAGGCCACGGCCATGAAAGATGCATGGAGCAAAGCCAATGTGCTTCTGGAACTTCTTCTGAACCCATCTTCCCCAGGAACCCTCTTCAAAGATCACCTGCTTGTACACTTCATTTTCCCCAAAGGAGTAGACAGGAACCAAGTCCGCTCTAGAAAGACAGAAAGAGTCAGGACCCCACTCCCAGGACTGCAGCTCACAGGACAGCCCCACACTTGCTGCTGTGTGTTCTGCCAGGCTGCACAGCTGCTGGTGCCACTGCCCAGAGCTGTCTTAGCAGCACAAGGTACTGACATAACAGATATACTTTGAAGGCACACCAGAGAATTGTGCTGACAATGGGCCTGTGGAACATTGTGCAGTCAGGCATGGGACATGCTTCCACATATACTCAACTCCTACTTCTAGTGGCCATCTCCTTTCAGGCACATGGGGATCAGGGGGACTGCACAGGTCATCACTCCATACTGGCACTGCCTCTCCTTGCCATGGAAGCCTCCAGCTGTCCCAGGGATCCCCTTAGCCCCGCACCTTGCTCAGGGGTAGAAGGCAAAGGACACTCATGTCTGATGCTCTGGGCAAACACCCACACAATCCCTCCAAGGTATCAGCTGCTTCAGGGAACAGAATCACAGAAGGGTTTGGGCTGGAAGGGACCTTTAAAGGCCATCTAGTCCTGTACCCCTGCATTGAACAGGGACATCTTCACCTAGACCAGGTTGTTGAAATAAAAGCACCTTTCCCCATGGCAGCAGTCCTGCTCCAGCCCTGAAGCTGCCCTTACCCATGCCGCAGAGCCAGCTTCACAAATCCCTTCCTGTTCTTCAGTGTCACAGAGTTCTTCCCTGGGGTGCAGTTCAGGGACTCTGCTGCCCCTCCGACCACGATGACGATGGCATTGCCACTGCCATTCTTGGACAGGATGTAGTCTATGCTGTCACGGTTCACAGGACAGATACCTGCAGTCAGGACACAGACACAAGGCAATGAGATTGGCTGGGGACTTCAGGATCTTCTCATAATTACAGCACAAAGTTTGTGCCTCAATTGCAAGTGGACTGTCCCACCTCCCTCTGGTCAGAGTAGGCAACTTATTCTCAACTAAACAAGCAGTTCACAGACACTAGACTTGGTCGTAAACTCCACAGACATCAGCTCTCAAAAATTTTCCTTTATCAAAAGGCTTCAGCAAGGATTTTCTGTATCTAGTGATATCAAAGGCATTGGTGTCAGACATCCTCCTTCCATGTAAACTTTACAGTAGGATTTGGTTTACCTTTAGAAAGGAAGAAAGCAGTTGTGTTATTTTGATGGATGGGAGTCTGATATTGACCAATTCCTCAGCAAAATTAGGTAGTGGAATAGATGTGGAATAGATTTAGCAATATAAAAAGAAGAAATGGACAAACCTTTAAGACAGATCTGAAATAATATGAAGCTCTTGCAATTTACAAGACAGCGTTTACATAAACCCATACTCTGAGTAAAGTGTCTGTGAAGATCTTTCCCCCTATTCCACACTGGAAATAGCAGGACTTCTCTTCACCTTTAGTAAGCAATCTCTGCCCTAAAGCTCCAGTCCCCACTCCAGGGAATGAAAACCCAAAGACAGCACCTAAAATTTCCTCTGTAATGCTTCAAAAATGTAAAGAAATTTGATTGTCTGCTCTTTAAACTCTTGCCTTTATTCTACAATTGGTGTCCAAGCTTGCTCCTGCCTCACTTTTTTGGCCAGAATAAGCCAAGGAAAAATGGGAAACCATCACTTACATTCCCATAAGACAACACATCTGATCTGAGTACTTGAGGTCACTGCCCTATTACACTTATTATATTAATTGCTTGAGCCAAGAACTAAATGATGAACAGGCCCTGGGGACTTAGGACAAGTCTTCCAGCCTTGATGTCTGTCTGGGCATCATCACCTATCCCAGCTCCAGGTAAGAACAGAGCAGACCACACTGGAGACAGATCAGCTGGAATTAAGGATGAGGAATTAGTTTCTTTCAGCACAACTACATCTCTGACCATTTTTCCTCTGAAAGGCTGAGGCTAATGCTCCAGCTTTGTCCCATTCTCCACACAAAGGTTCACGCTGGCTACACAGGCCTGGTAACAGATTTAGGTTCAGCTCTTTCACACTTGTTAGCAGGAAGAGATTACTGCTGCTCACAGCACCAAATGGTTCCTTCAGAAAGTGCCATGAGACGTGGAGACAAGTGGCAATAGATAAAACTCTGCTCTTCAGCACATTCACACAGTGTATACGGTTTTCTGGTCGTGCCCTCATGCCTTACAGGGTCTCTGCTGTACCTTAGCCTCTAGCAGGCTGTAAAATTAAGAATTCATACTAGTTGTAAACCAACTGTGTGTATTGGTACAGTGTTATGATTTGTTATAATTTCACCTGGAAATGGTTTATCCACAGAAAAAAGGACTGAGGGAATTATCAGCACTTTCCAAGTGATGTAAATAAAGCCTTTGTATCAGCACCCTTAAGTTCCAGTATAGGAAAGTAAAAACAAATTATGGCTTTCAGAAGGTCAACTTCATGTCAACTTCAAGTCACCTGTAGACTTGCTTAGATCCTAGGAAACAAAGAAGCACAATTTTCCTCTGGTTTAAGCACAATGCTCAGGGATAGCCAAGCCAGCAATGATGTTGCTAATGCCTACTCCCACGTTCCTTCCAAAAAGGAGAAAGCAGCTCTGACTGGCCACAAGACTTGTCTGCAAGTCATACTGAACAGATTAAAAGATATTTTAAAAAAATATAAAAAGGCTGCATGGAAACTTCAGCAACACAACTAAATTTACAGACATGACAGACTGGAAAGCAGATCCCAACTTCTCATGTACTGCTGGCCTGGGAATTCCCAAATTATGGGCTTCACACAGCAACTAACATCAGTACAGGAAGAAAAAAACCAGCTTGAGATACATCCTTTCTAGATAGGGACAAACACCTCCTCTGCACCAGATACAGTTAGTTTTTATCTCCCTCAATTAAGACAGTAATCTCAGAAATAGTCAATTCTAAAAAGTCAAAGTCAGGTACAGCTACTCCTACCATCTTCCCAGCCACGGTACTTATTAAGATATCTATTTTAAAGTCGTTTATTGATGAATCAGTTCCAGAAACAGCAAACAGGTTACTGGATTGTTCAATTCGCAGTTTTAAGTGTTTTTCCCTCACCTCTATCTAACTGACAGGCGCCCTCACTCTGAAAAGGAAGCTCAGGCCATGTAAGAACACTTTATTGGTATTTTAAACACTGTTTCCTCTACCCAGTCATAACTTACAAGCCCTCCAGCAGTAAAATCCTGGATTCCATTAAAACAGACCTATTAATGTAATTTGGCACACTTACATCACTGCATAATTCACGGGATCCATCTACAGGAACACATCCAGGGAAGGGGGTCTGTGAACAGCTGGTATCCTGCAGTATTTCAGACTCTTTACCCCTGGCAGGCACCCAGCAGTGCAAGTGGGTGGAGACAGCATCCACCACCACCACAAAACACAAATGTGTGACAAATGATGTGGTGTGAGCCCAGGAGCTGAGCTGGCCATGGTTACTCAGTATTTTCAGTCAGTGCAACTTCTTCCTGTACCTTCACACATTAACTGGGACATAACTTGGTTCCATGTCTCCATCTTCCATGACCACAGTTGTCAGATATCTTTACTATGGTTTTGGACAAGAGTATCCTAGAGTTAAGGATGAACACAAGGGAACAGCAGTCCCTACAGCCCAAATCAGGCATATTCACAGAATCACAGAATGGTTTAGGTTGGAAGGGACCTTAAAGATCATCCAGTTCCAACCCTATGCCAGGGACAGGGACACCTTCCACTAGACAGGATTTCTCACATTTATTCACAGCTTCCTCTCAACAACCATATGAAAACAACGTTTGGGTGATGCTACCAGCAGGAAGTGGTTACATGAGCTTCCTACACAGCTTTTCACTTGACAGAGGTGAAGACAGCTCAGAGGCAAGAGCAAAAGCAGAAATGGCACAGTGTGAGTGTGCTTACCACCAGACATTAGGTAGTCCCTCAGTATGGGCATCCTGAAGTTCCCAGCCAGGGTAGCAAGGTATGGTCGGATCCCAGGGAATTTCTGGCCCACACCCGTGGCCTCTGTGCTGAAGTTGCAAAAGGCACCCAAGCCCATGATGCCATGTGGATGGTACCCAAAAATGTAATTCCTGGTGGTCAGCAGATTGTGGGTTTTAACCAGCTAGGAAAGAAAAAAGAGCTCAGTTGAAGATGGATATTTTCAGATAGTAAATAAAAGTGGGAGAAGCAAAAAAAAAAAAAAAAAAAAAAATTAATATTCCCCAGGTTTTGTCTCTCTTCCTATCAGGAAGAACAGCCTAAGAGCTCAGGTACAGGCTCTCCTAGATTTCAGAGGCTCTGGTAGGAGCAGCCATTCAGACTTCAGTTTTTCCAAGTAGAGGGAGCAAGGTAAACAGACTAATCTCAGACACAAGAAGCTGGCCAGCCAGGTAGGAACAGGGCATGGATTGCTGCAGCCTGGGCCTTTTGCTTCTCTGCTCCTTCCTAAAGTATTCTGACACACCTCTTGCCCAAACCAATCAAGTTCTCCAGTCCTGTAGCCACAGCTGCCTCCTTCCAGGCCCTCTCTCAGCACATTAGTGGCTCACATCCCAGCATGAGGCAGAAGGAACATAAACATCACTGTCTCACAGCAGAAGCAAGTTCAGCTAATGCCTGAAAAAAGAGCCAACCAGTTAATGGGCCTGTTGGCCACCTTCCAAGTGGGAAAATGTGCAGAAGGGTGGTAACCACTGGAAATTATCCCTCCCTTTCAGAGGTTCTGCCCTAGCCTACATGCCAAAGGCTCAACAAGACACCTCAAACTATCTCTGATTCCTGCAGGGCCCGCACTAGGAGTTGTGATCACATTGTTTGAAGGTGTACAATATTCCTAACCATTTGCTCCTCTGTTTGCAGAACATGGACTCTTCACAGCTGTCTTAGCTAGCACAGAACAACCTATTTTCCTTGGTACCACTACTGCCAGAGGGGGCTTTTGTGATGCTATAGGTAGCAGTAGCATCCCATATATCAGAGCATCTTCCCCAGGCAGCACACAGGACAAAACACAGCAGGGGCGCTGCATCATCCTACAAAAATAGAGATCTAATTTAATTTTTTCCATCTGTTAGAATGGTTGATGTTGAAGGAGACCTTAAGGATCATCCAGTTCCAAACCTCTGTCATAGGCAGAGACATCTTTCTCTAGACCAGGTTGCTCCAAGCCCTATCCATCCATCCTGGCCTTGAACACTTCCATGGATGGGGCAGCCACAGCTTCTGTGGGCAGCCTGTACCAGGGCCTCACTACCCTAAGAGTCTATAACCTCCTCCTAATATCTAATCTAAGCAGCTCCTCTTTTCAGGCTGCAACAGTGCCACTTTTTGCCAACTGCAACACCCCAGTGTGACAGTGGTCACAGGGGTTCTTGGATGAGGGGAGAGACAAGAATGCTGACTATGTTCAAAAGGCTTGATTTATTATTTTATGATATATATATATATTACATTATAACTATACTAAAAAGAACAGAAAGAATGGTTTCCTCAGAAGGCTAGCTGAGAATAAAATAGAATGAATAACAAAAGTCTGTGGCTCAGACAGAGAGTCCAAGCTATCTGGTCTGTGGTTGGCCATTAATTGTAAACATTCAAGATGGCCCAATCACAGACACACCTGATGCATTCCACAGCAGCAGATAACCATTGTTTACATTTTGTTTCTGAGGCCTCAGCTTCTCAGAAAGGAAAAAATCCTAAAAAGGATTTTTAGTGAAAAGATGTCTGCGACACCCCAGCAGCTCTCAGACCTACAAGCTGAGGCTTTGGCACCCCTCCCTCAAACTATATTTGCAAAGGCCACTCTGCATCAGTTTCCATAGGAAAAAAAACTCCACAGATTTCCAAGATGTCACACCAGCATGTGCCACTGCCTTGGACAAGGAGTGTTTATGCAAGTTCTTTCTGTTGGATCATGCTACAGGGAGCTGAAGTACCATTGCAACACCCTAAAGCAGCGTGCCCAGAAACTTGATTCCCTTCTCCCTGTTCTCAGCCTTGTCCTCAGATGAAGCTACAGCTCCTGTGCTATATAAAACAGTGGCTGTGATACAAGCATGATGCAGCAGCAGGTTCTGCAAGGTGACTGGCCCTCCTCATAATTTCCTCTGGCTCTGAGGTCATGTAGAACTCCAGGAAGAAGGCACAGAGGCTTGTGGTGGCAACAGCTCTGCAGAGCCCATTGCCTATTCTTTCCCCATTTGTAGATGACTTTGCTTTCACTTCCCAGGATAGAAGGGCTGTCCCCTTGATCAGTTACAAGAAACAGGGATCACAGACTAAAGACCAAAAACCCATCTCCAGGAAAAAAGTCATGATATGGTAAGCAACCCCTCCATCTATCAATTCTTGCTCAGTTGTAGAGAGACTTCTGTAAGAGGCTATCCAGGGCATGGTGGATCCACATCCCTGGAGGGAGTTAAAAGCTTTGTGGATGTGGTACCTGGGCACATGGGTTTGTGGTGGCCTTGGCACTTCTAGCAGAATGGTTGGACTTGATGATCTTGGGGGACTTTTCCAACCCAGACAATATTCTGACTTTTTGACTACAGGCCTGGTAGATACAGACACATGGCTTGGCTGCACAAGCAGCAGAAACCCCTTCCTTAAAGCTCCTGTCAGAGCAAGGTAGTGATTTCCAAGCCTCCTCTCTCACCTGTACCAAGCACAGCTCCTGTAATAGGACAGACAGCTGAAAGGAGGTTGGTCCTCATCCTTCTGGAGCACGAGGCATCTGCATGCTGAGCTTGGCAGAGCCACACATGGAAGACACACTGTTCTCCTGCTCCAGCCCCTCCACACATGCAAGGACAGCCAGATCCCAGTGGAGCCATTGCTTGGACACCTCAGAGGAGCCCCAGCCTTATCACCGTGGCTGTTTTCCAGGCGCTCCCCTTATGGAGCCATAGGGTTGGCAACAGCCATGACAATCCATCACCCACAGCACTGCAGGAGCTGGGCAAGGGGTGTGCAGGGATCCAACCAAACAAAGGCAAGGGAGAGTGCTGAGATTTCACCTCATATTCACACATGTGTGGCTTCTCCCCTGTTTGTTCCATGCAGGCTGCCACTGCCCTCTACACCTGTCCCACAGCACAGAGGCTCACAGAGGTAAACATGGAGGGTGCAGGTGAGGTTCAGCCTGTTCTCCTAGGGAGAAGTGACAAGAGGACACAGCCTCAAGCAGCACCAAGGGAGGTTCAGATGATGTATTAGAAAAAATTACCCAAAAGGCACTGGAATAGTTGGACTCAATCTTCAAGGTCTTTTCCAACCTTGGTGATTCTATGTGTTGTTCCACCCAAGTCAAGCCAGGGAACCAAAGACCAACAGACATCAGACAGGGTTGGGCACTTCTCTGCAAGCAGAGCTCTTGAATCTGCTAATGCACAAACTCAGCCCAGGGAGGGTATGACCTGCCAATACCTTCATCTCTCCCTAAATTTAATCTAGAAGCAGGAGTTTTTGAAGTAGTGTAAAAATCATGTATTCTAGACTCAAGGAAGAGTGAAGATAGCAAAGTGCACAAGATGGGGCTTTGGAACTAGAATGCATTTAAATGTCCCTTCCAGCCCAAACCATCCTAGGATTCCATGCCTCTCTTCAGGAGGCTGATCACTCACTGCTGGTTCTTTGAACCCCTCACCTTGAGATAACACAAGCAAACAGTGTTATCAGGCTGCCCCAAGGAATTGCTGTGGCTGTCACTGAACATCACCACTGTTCTGAACCTCCAGCTGGTTTTTCCTTTAGTCTCCAAGGTCTTGTCCATTTCCACACAGCTCTGTGGAGCCTCGGTGCTCCCAGGATGAGGCAGAGTCAGCACATCCCTGCTGCATCTCAGCTGGACAACCAGTACTGGGAGTGAAGATGAACCTTCACTGCACTAACACACCTGTTCCCAGCTGCTGTTAGAGACCAAACCTGTTTCTCTGGGAGCAAAGTCCATCCACCTTTCTAATAATGACAGATTTCTTTACACAGAACTAAGCCAGCCTACAGGAGCAGTAAGCCAGTGCAACAGCGTAAAGAAAATGAGCGCTAATATTTAAATGCCAGATACAGCTAAAGAACCATATTGCCAGCTTTATTTTTAGCAACAGTGGCACATTCAGTAGTGGAGAAAGAGGACTGCAGAACCACTGCTGCTCAGCACCAGGAGCCAAAGAGCAGGAAAAAAATCAGTTGTCTGGGTGGGAGCTGAGCAGCACTGACTGGAAGCTTTCAGAGAGCAGAAAACCAGAGCTCATCCTGCAGGATCCAAGCAGCAGGTCCCATGAGCATGGAAGCTTGCAAAACAACCCAAAACCTGCACTTAGCCACATCACACCCTGCAACACAATGGAAGAAATGCTCTTCCCTTCCCAGCAGTGCAAGCCAGGACCTGAAGACCCCTCACCAGGCTCCTAGTATTATTTATATATGTCACAAATTCACAGAATGGCTTGGGTTGGAAGGGACATTAAAGCTCAGCTTGTTCTAACTCCCTGTCATGGTCCTTCCACTGCACTAGGTTAGGACAGAGCAATCAAACCATTCTATTTCCATTCTGTAAATCATGTACAATGATTAAGGAGGAGCTTTGCCAGGAAGCAAGCCAAGACACAGAATACAAGATGAATTGAAGAAAAAAAAAAAAAGCCACTTTTGGCAGCAATTCCTGCTCTGGCCAGATGCCAACTCTTCCACAGCAGTGAGCAGGTCTCCTTGCACACACCTGAAGTGCTCACAGTCTGACAAAGATGAGCCAAAGATCTGAAGCCCTGACTGCCTGGGGTCCTGCTGCATGTGGAGATGTTCACATGCCCAGGTGACAGCTTCTTTACCTAAACAAAACCTTTAGGTCATGGCACTGCCAGCACGACATCCTCAGATCAGCATGTGCTTAGGAGGCTGCTGGGATCAAGCATGGGATTGAGATGGTGTGTGCAGGTGAGTGTGTGCATGAGATGGGGATGGTGTATCTAGGTGATGTCTGGTCAGTCCAGCCCCATGCACACACCTGCAAGGGCTTGGGCTTCACCTGCACTTCAGGTCCAGGACTCAGTTCACTGGAACATTCCTCAGCCACTTCATGTGCTCCTTAGCTTGAAGCACTATTTGCAAGGCCAGCCATTAACCAGCAGACAAACTGAAGTTTCTAGTGCCCTAAAGTAACTTATTATTGTCAGAGCAGCTGCATGAAGTTCCAGGGAATGTGGCCAACTCAGCTCATGCTGAGTAACAGCGACAGATTCAGGCTGCTTTCCAAATCCACCTGGTATTACAAAACATGACCTCATATCTCCAGGTAGGGGTACAATAGTCCTGGTGTTTCAGGCTGGGAGGCACTGCTGACTCTAGTGAGACCAGCCTAATCAGCACAAACACTGGAGCAGAGCTTGGTGCTCATGCAGCTGCTCTAATACAGCAAGCCAAATAGGAAGGAATTCTTGTCTGTGAGGGTGGTGAGGCCCTGGCACAGGCTGCCTAAAGAAGCTGTAGTTGTCCCATCCCTGGAAATGTTCAAGGCCAGGCTATACAGCTTGGTTGAAGCAACCTGGTCTAATGGAAGATGTCCCTGACCATGGCAGAGGGCAGGAATGAAACAAGCTTCAAGGTCCCTTCCAACTGCACTGTGATTCTATGAATTAAAACTGAGCTGATAGCTGGTACCTGTGCAGGTATGGGTGCAGCTACCACAGCTCTACATGCAGACTTTGCTGCAGACAAGTTCAGCATTACAAGTGCCACCAGTGTGACTGTCACTGGTGTGATCTGTCCTGGCAGTGCTCAGCAGACACATGGAACAGGACTGTGACAGTGTCTGCAGGGAAGAGATGAGAATGTTGACTCCATGTTTCAGAAGGCTGATTTATTATTTTATGGTACATATTATATTGAAATTATACTAAAAAAATAGAAGAAAGGATTTAATCAGAAGGCTAGCTAAGAATAGAAAAGGAATGAATAACAAAGGCTTGTGACTGACCAAGACAGTCTCGACAGCTGGACTGTGATTGGCCATTAATTAAAAACAACACATGAGACCAATCACAGATGCACCTGTTGCATTCCACGGCAGCAGATAATCATTGTTTACATTTTGTTCCTGAGGCCTCTCAGCCTCTCAGGAGAAAAAATCCTAAGGAAAGAATACTTCATAAAATGTGTCTGTGACACAGGATGAGATGCAGCAGAGGACTGTCCTGACAAACCATAAGCCTGGGACACAAACCACGTCCTCCTGAGCCATTACACAGATCAGAATCCAGTAAAAATTATTTTTGCAGAGAGAACATTTAAACAAGTGATCCTCTGTAGACCTGTCTCCCTCTTGGGAAAGAACAGGTAACTAGTTTAACCCAGGAGTTCCCATGCTCTCAGCAAGCCCAAGGCATCCTGGTTCTTGGTACATTCTTAATATCCAGAGACATTATTCATTGTTCATGCATCCGTCCCATAACTGCAGAAAAACACTTCTAGCACCTCTCTAGCCTAAGATCCCTGCAGCAGCTTTTCCCAGCCCTGCAGCCAGCTGGCTGCTCCCCCAAAACACGTGCAGGAGTCATCTCCCAGCTGTCAGCACTCCTGTCCTGCCCTTTGCATGTGAAATACCAGTCTGCTCCATAAACCTTGCACAATTCCTCCCCCTCAGCAGCAAAGGAATTACACCCATAAGGGGTTCTCACGAACGGATATGTGAGCTAGCAAGTATTTAAATAAAAACTGCTGCAAAGTTTAGTTTATCTACCCCATCTCATCTCTAAACCTACCTAAACAACCCAGCTCTCTGACAAACTTTTAATATCCACAGTGAATCCAACCTGCAGGGCTTCTGCAGAGCATATTTCCATGAAGACAAGGATAAATGTGCATCAAGGGAATGATGAAACAGCAGAACCAGCACTGCAGGTGACCCTTTGGAACCAAGTCCCCAGCATAACAGAGCCCATTTCAGCAATATCCAAGGCAGCAGTGTTTAGGGCAGCACTAAGGACTTGGTTCTAGAACACAGCACATCTGAGACCCTTCCTGAACAGCAGAGCCTGCTCAGCTCTCTGTCAGCCACGAGACCCAGGCTGACTTCCAGCCTGTGCAGGCATAGTGAATTTCTCTGTGTACACTTAGACTTGCCAAGAATTACCTGTTAACAACAGCAAGTTTGATGGTGAACTTGGCAGTGCTGGGTCAATGGTCAGGCTTGCTCTTAAAGGTCTTTTCCAACCTAAATGGTTCTGTGCTTCTCAGAGTACAACAAAAGGCTTGTTCACCAGCAGCACGTTCAGGCACCCCGAGAGTTCAAGTGACTTTGCAAGGGAAGAATCCAGTCTAAGCTGCTTTGGCCTCCTGCTGGAACTGGATTCCCTGTTCCTTCCTGAGGCTAGACTATCTTGGGGATAGGTAGCTCAAAAGCTCTACCAAGGTCCCTCCCTCATAGTCAAGCTGAGTAAAACTTGCCAACAACCTTACATAATAGTCCTTTCAGCTGCGTGCCCTTCCAAAGAGGATCTGGTTCCCTCCTAGCCGAATTTGACCCCTGCTCCCTTCCAAGTCATCCAGCTAATTCTGCTGTCCCAGAGCAGCCTGGCAGCCCTGTCCTCTTTCTGCAGCATGTCTGAACCAGTAGGAAAAATACAAGTATGTGGTGAGCAAGTTTCAAGCTGGAGAACTGAAGCTATTCCCACTGCTGGAAAATCCACTTCTCCAAAGCAAAAAGATTTGAGGACAAATTTCAGTGCTCCCAGTGAAGTGCTGACTTTTGGTGCACAGAGGTCCCAGATATTCTGGTCCAATACATCCCAGAGCAGAAGTGTTACTAGAAAACAGGCAGAAACTGAGCTAGATTTTATGATTTATGAGAGGGGAACAGTGTTAGGGGCAGGCACTACACAGGACCGCTGCAGCACAGAAGAGAATCACAGGGTGATTTGCATTGGAAGGAACCTTAAAGATCATCCAATTCCAATTCCCTCCCACGGGAAGGGACACTTTCCACTAGACCAGGCTGCTCCAAGCCCCGTCCAGCCTGGCTTTGAACACTTTGAGGGATGAGGCACTACCACTTGCTGGGACAACCTGTGCCAGTGTCTCCAGAAGCTGGAGAGATGAACAAGGATTGCACACTGCCTCCAGCAATCTGGTAAAACCACAGCAGCTTCTGGCAATCACATTGCCACCATTGGTAATGCATTTCAGATTTTCTAACCATAGCTGCCACAAGCAGCAGTGTGGCAATAGTAACTGAGCCATGTCCTGCTTACAGTTCAGTGTCATAGACAGACTAGTGCCAGGACAAGACACTAAAGCAGTTAAACCCCAGGGTATAGAGTTAAACTTCTACTTACTCTTATTGGAAAATAATCCCTGAAGTACCTCCATATAGCCCAGTTTCTCACCCACTGGGATCTTCTTCCCCCTGTTGAAAAAAGGAATCATGTCTTTAAAGCTCTTTCCACATGGCTGTCCATCAGAAAGCCTAAAGGACTCCAGGGTTTGCTGTCTCACTAGAGGAATCAACACTCTCATTCCTCCCAGTGGGAGACCTGCACCATTCACTGAAATCAATGCACATTCTGGAATACAAGGCACTTCAAACAAATTAAGGCTTGACTGCAAATTCAGGATAAACAACTCTACAATTTAAACTAGAAACACTCCAATGCAACCTTTAGGAAAGGCCAAAATCTCAGATGGTTTCTGTCATCTTGAAGCAATGGACAACTGTGCTCATCTGGCTACAAAAGTAGTTGCCAAAGCTTGTTACCACTGCTGGTTCCCAGAGCTGGCTTCTACAGGTTTGGGATTTTTTTTTCTGAAGTAATCTGCTTAATCTGTAGCAACACTGACTCCACAGAGGAGCCACACCTTGATAATGACATCACAATCTGAACCTTGCAAGAGCTGGGCAGGACAGAAAGGTCTTGAATCTTTAGATCTTTTGGAAGTAAAGAAAGGTCTTGAATCTTTAGATCTTTTGGAAGTAAAGAAAGAACCTATGCTTTATAAATATGTTAGTAAAAGCCAGCAATGACATAATAGCAGTGAATGCTAATTTTGTATTGCCCTCAGCACCAATGAAACCTGCAGTCACTGTTCATGCTGAGGGCTGACATTTAAATGCTACACTGAATAATGCCTTTGGTCAGTGATTCAGCCAAGTCCCACTAAAAGAGAAGTCATCCATTACAAGGAAGTGCTTCTTTGTCCAAACATGGAGACAGGGACACTTGAACAACAAGTATCTCTTCTGCAATATTTACCTTTCTTTGGTGTATTCCAGTCAAATACCAGCCAGGCTAAATAGAGAGCAGCAATCGCCCAGCAATCTGTACACAGTATGTACATGAGGATTAAAGTGCAAGCAATACCTGGAGAGGTGCAAGAAAGAAGAAAACAAGGTTGCAGCAGGTTCTGGTCTCCACTTACACCCCCTGCCTTTTGACTCTTCTATGCTGAAATCTTCATCTCAGTCTGATGTCATTAATCCTCAAATAAATTGGATTTGATCAAAAGCCCCTTATGTAGGGCTGAGGCAGCTTCCTCTAGAGCTCTGGAAAACCTCAACTTCCCCTTAATGGTGCCTCCAGGCATCTCCTGTATCTCCAGGTGGGGCAGCTGCTTCATCAGACTGGATGAGCATGAGGATTTCTCCATGGCCACACCAATGGGATTTTCCCCCACAGCTACACACATCTCCCACAGGTTACACCAGCTCTGTATCAGCCATCCCACCAGGGTGCCAAGGATCCCACCCAAAAATGACACATTTCAGCACAAACTGAACTGGGAAGGTAGAGTGAGACAGATGCTGAGAGCAGCCATTCTCCAGTTTAATCATTAACAATCCAACAGAGCAGAGCAGCCTGAGGTTTCACATAATCCAAGCACCCAGGGATAAACAGGCTTCACTCTTTTACTGGTCTAACACAAACAACTCCTGCTCGTCTCTGGTACCTCCTGGAAGCAGACCAAGCCAAGAGGAAGGCATTCCTGTTGCATCCACTTGCATCAGCTACCAAATGCATCTAAGAAATCTCTGTGGATATTCCCATGAGCCAGCCAACAAAGACATTTCCAATTGTTTCAGCCTCATTTGCATGATAGATACTGACACAAGCTAAACATCAGACAGTCTTTCCATAGCTCTTATGATTTTCTAGAGCCAGGAAAAGGCATTTATGGTTGAAAATATCAATGTAACTGATTTACAGTAACCATGTACCCCAGCAACTACACTACATATCTAGTAATTAACACTTATGAAACAAGTTAACATTTTGCATTAAAATTCTTGCAGAATTACAGCCAAAACCCCTTTGCTTTAGGCCAAAATGTGTTACCCATGATAAGGAAAGTGAGAACCCATTGCAGCACAGAGATGATTTGGAGCTGTTTCTCTACTTTGGATTTCAATAGCCAGAACAAATCCTGCAGAGCAGAAAGAATGTTCGATCCCGTGCCTAAAGAAAGAAAAATAAAAGAAATAAAGTTATGTTTGCACACTGAGCAAAGGAAACAATATTTTTCCTTTGAAACAGAATCATAGAAGGAAGGGTCATCAAGTCCAGCTTATTTTAGTAAGAGGTTTCAGATAAATGTGCAGTTTGCTTTTACAGCAAGCTTTGCTAAAAGCTAATATTTTCCATGGAGTTTGGGCATCCTGGAAGAGGAAGGATTGCCATGTGCCAACATCCAGCTTTTTTCAGAATACTGGAGGGGATTAATGAGTAATCATCAGTACCCATCCGAGCAAGCCTCTGTTAACCTGACCATAAAAGGGGAGAGGATGTTAACCCATGTTCCTAACACCCACTATCACCTCACACTGGCAGCTCCTCACAGTGGTGTTTGGTAAAAGGGAACCCCATGAGCTCACAGTAAGATAAAGATCAGCTGCTCACACCCGGCTGTGCTGTGAGCTGTTCTCCCTTCACAAGGCCTGTTGCACAACTCCCAGGGCTGTCCAAGGAAAGCTCTGTGCTCCAGCCTTCCTAGCACAGCCCAAATGCCGGCTGAACACCTCAACATACAGCCCTGAGGATCCACAGCTCCATGAGTAAGGAACACTATCAGCATTCCCAAAGCAGTAAATAAGAAGGAAGGAGCTGAAAGCCACCCTTGTAGAAGCTTAAGATATTCAAGCGAGGAAAAAACCCAGAAGTGGGTAAAACACTGAAAACGCTTTCTATATGAAGAACCACCCACTGCAGCTTTTGACAGCATACACAGCCCCCAAAGAGAAGCATTTGCAAGTGGGTTTTCCTTCACTTTTCTTCATTACCTTATTTACAAGCACCATAATAAACTGACCAAAATACAAATCCCTTTATGTGTAATTACATCTTTTCTTTTGTCTTGTTATTAGAACAATGAAAGAAGCTATTACACTGAGCAGGTTCAGTTCTTGCTGACAAGATATTACCTGCTAGTGGTAATAGCATAGCAAGTGTTCACACTCAGTCAAAGTGATTGAAAATAGCTTCTCTAGGTATAAACAGGCACTATGATTTTTGGTAGTTTCTACAAAGATACTCTCACTGGTGCATCCTTTAAATATGTAAAGCAACTGTTTCTTAGGAATGAGGGTCAATTTAAATTAGGTAAGGAAGAAGTTTTTTACTGTGAGGGTGGTGAAACACTGGCACAGATTACCCAGAGATGCCTCATCCCTGGCAACATTCGGGGGGCAGCCACACCAAAGGCTGCAGTCTAAATTTAGAGCCAGCCACCCAGTTCAGACCTTGGTTCTGCTCAGTCTATGTTACATGAATAATCCCAGTAGTGCATTGGGCATTAATTACTTTAAGCAGACCAAGTTTTGGGCTGGGATAGATCATACAACTACAACTGCAAGTGAACTGAAACCTACAGCACTAATCCAGGTTGAAACAAGCTGTAGGCAGTTCTTTACAAGGTAATACAGTGCAGTATTAAGAATGAATCCAGCAAGTAGTTCTCCTGTTTCAGAGGTGAGACAGGAGAATATGTTGAGTTAAACTGTCCCTGTGCATTGGTTTTGCCACACTACAGTATCTAAGCAGTGAGATTCAGAAACCCCATGCTGTAAAATCTAGCAGCAAATCCCCAAATTTGGGGTGAGGGATAAACTTCACCCCATTTTTTACCAAGCCAGTTGCCTGCTCAAGGCTAAAATAAATCTTTGGGTTCAGAATGATTTGTATTCAAAGAGACCTTTATAGCTCACCTCAATCTAATGCCCTGCCATGGGCAGGGATACATTCCACTAGACCAGGTTGCTCAACTCTTGCTGAGGGGCCACAGCTCCAGGTATGTGCTATCCCAAAAACCTTACAAAACTGCATGTGGACAGACTTGATATAGACAGAGGATTACCAGACACAAGTTTAAAGAAAGCGTTTAGCAACAGTAGCGTCACTGGACATATGTCTATGTCCTCCAAAAGAAGCCAAAAGTCTTCATTTGTGACAAAATAAAAGCCCAGCTCCACGTAATTTTTTTCTTCCAGCATGCACATTTACACTACCAAACCTCTATGGCTTCATAAACCAAACACTCCAGCCTTGGATCAGCTAAATCCCTATCCTCTTACCAAAGAGAACAGCTGTTTATCTCTCTAGATGAGAATTTGTACTTCAGCATTTTCTAGATGTTCGAACAAATTGTAGCCATTGTAAATAGACGAGTATTGAGTAGCACAAGTCAACCTGTCAGCTTGCTCTTCAAACCACATAAAACTCACATTCAGCTCCTGCAGACAGAGGGAAAGCAGTGGCTTGCCAGACAGCTCTAAGCACCTGCCCCTGGACAAGTGTCCTGGGTCAGTTATTTGCTGAAAGCAAAGGCATCCTTCAGAGAGAACAATATTCTCCACACCAGGTGTCCTAGATTGCAGGGCAATGTGTGTATTCCATTTGCCATCTGTTAGAGGTGGGGCAGTTTCTTCTGTTAATTGGGCAGTTTTTCTTTATCTCTTCCACAAACCAATCCTCCCTCCTGGGAGACATCTTCTGTTAATGGGACATTGAGCCTCACTGCATGGCTGATAAAAGTTGTGACATACTCTGCCCAGAGAGAGGACCCAAGCATTCTCAATTAGCTATAATCTGAGATTTTGGGATACCAGAACAGCCTTTCCACTGGATTCCCAGAAGAACAGCTGCCTCTTCCACGGGATCTTCAGAGGAAGACTACACCCCTTCTACAGGATCCCTGCTCCAACACTGACACCCCAGGAGCACTGCAGCCACAGTTCCAACTGGACTGCTACCAACATCCTGACCAACAGGGTGTCAAGTTGTATTCTGACTCTGTCAGTTTTGGTTTGTATTACTGCATTGTTTTTTAAAATTTTTTTATTTTCTTCTCTAATAAAGAACTGTTATTCCGACTCCCACATCTTTGCCTGAGAGCCCTCCCTTAATTTCAAATTTATAATTTAGAGGGAGGGGGTTTACATCTCCCGTTTCAGGAGCAGCTCCTGTCTTTTCAAACAAAGACACCAGGAAAGTTAGTAGCTACCATGGTCTGACGTTATCATTTAATTCCCAGTTAAGAACTTAAAGATGCCCAGTAGCAAAGGAAAGGACCATGGGAATGGTCAGTCAACCTGGCAAAGTCATCAGGTCTACCTTTGCACCAAACCTGCAGACTCCAGATTAACCCATTTCATCAACCAAGCATTTACAGACTTTAGTGCCAAGACAATCCTTTCCAGACAGTCCTGAACTTCTCATTCATCATGTCTGACTGACACACTGTATTCAACCCCCAGGCAAGCCTCATCTCCTTCCAGCTTCAGTAGCCAAGAGGCATTTTTGGAAAGACCCTCCATGCTCTGGAGAAACCAGGCCAGTATTGGAGACACAGAGCAGTAGAGCTTTGACAAATCAACAGAAATGGGGGGGAAGGGGGGAGCTGGCACTCAGCCACAGAAGAATAACCCAACTCTAACACTTGAGTTCAGTCCATTAGAGAAAATACTTCCTCCTCATGGCTCACCTGTGGGCCCACACCAAGCACCTTTCACATATTAAAAACCCAAGGCATTTTCTGTAACTTTCAGGGAACAGATTATCCTTATAACCTACTTTAAAAGGGCCCAGTAGACATAACTATAATTTGTATATTCCTATCAGTCTTTTCCCAAGGAAATATCCTGGATCCTGAAGAAACCCAAACCTCCATCTTCTGCCACTGAAGACAGTAGCTGATCCTGTGCTGGCCACACTGCACAGCCCCTGGAGCATTTTCCAGGGTACCTGTTCCAGAACTGGGAAGCCTACCGGGGAGCCTTAACTAGACCATCTTTAAGATCCTTTCTAACCCAAGCCCTGTTGGGATCAGCCTTGGCAAACCATATCTACACAAGGCATACTTTACCAACTTTACTTTACTGGTCTCAGATGAGCAGGTCTCCAGCTCCCACTGCAGCCCATGCCCTGGAGTCCTGATGGGATATTCCCTGCACTAAGCCAGGCACAGCTCCCAAGAACATTCCCTGTCACAATGGACAGAGTACAACTTCTCAAGGACATTCCCTGTCACAATGGACAGAGTACAACTTCTCCCTTGCTGCTCATCTGCAGCCTTCCAAGGAAACTCAGGGGCATTAGCCAGCCATCCTGCAACTGGTGATGGGCTCCCCATACTTTTATCATGTAGCTCCATTTAACATCAAATGCAGGAGTTGCTACCAAGGAGATCCTGGAATCAGCAAATGGTTCGACCAAGCATTTGATTCCTGCATTACGGACTCAGCATCTGGTGCTGTTCTAGCACAGTTTATTTCAGGTAAATTACACAAACAACATTTATCTGGGCAGGGAAGTAGAATCAAAGATCCCAAGAGTGGAAGTAAACAGGAATTCACATGTGGGCACCCAACTGACATGACTTAATTAAATGTCAGCGAAGGAAATTAACTGAGAAGAAGTACAAGTGTTACATATAGTTAAAAATACACTGAAACTTTGTTAAACCCAAGCTCCATTTGCCACGTTTTCCAGACAATTAGCATTTTAATTCTTGGCCAATAATTAAACTGCTTCACATGGCTTATTTAGAAGAAAACCATATTGGATCCATCAAAGCATAAACTGCAAATGGACATTTTGAGCCATGTATTTTGCAGAGAAGCTGAAATTGGAACAAAGACAAGAAAAACAGACCAGTACTAGAAAATTCAGGAGGACTCAGCCACCCATGCAAGAGCAGGAGTACCTGTAAAACCCCTTGAGCAACACAAGTTCTTTTGGGTTTACTTGGGTGCCTCAAGCACAAGCATATTCAATATAAAGTAAACAATTTGTTAAGAAAATAATGAGTAAACAGCACAGAGTATAGTTATCCTGGCCTGTACACAGCTTTAGAACAGTTTGCTCCTGTCCCAGGAAGCTACTCAATTACATTATCTGCAGTATGTTTATGTGTGTTTATGTATGTGTGTGTTTATGACTGGAAATCAACAATATTTTGAACAGGGACATGCAAATAAAAATTTCTATCATCTCTTTTAGAAAGGAGCTGGGATTCTCCAGACCCAGGAAACAAATCTGTCATGATTACTCATGTTAGTTCTGGATTTACTCTCAACACTAAATTCAGCCCTCAGCCTCCACACTTACAGCACTTTTACACACAGTATGTGTGTTAAAGTGATGCAGCCACAAGACCCCACTGTCCCAGAGCAGCCGAGAAGTTTAGATTTAAGTTAGCAACACTGGACAGGTCTGGACAAGAGAAAAGGACCCATCCTACTACAGCTCATCAGTGTGTCCAGAGCACACGGGGGCTCTGAAAGAGGGGTTTCACACTAGCAAGCCCAGACCTTCACCTCCCAAACAACTTTGTCAAGAGACAACACCTCATTGCAGCCAGCCTGATCCTGTTCTCCCAAAACAGCAGCTCCCAGGCTGCCCATGCCAGAGCACAACTCAGGTCTGGTAACCTCACGTGCAGTGTAAGACTAACTCCAAGATACAGCTGAGCAAAATCATCTTCATCCCAAACTTCTTGGTGATGAAGTAACATTAGAAAAGACATTTCAGCACAGGACAGCCTTTCAAGGTTCCAGCCACACCAGCATCTTTCCTCAGGGGAGAGGGATGAGACAGACCTCCTTGCTGCCCTGCCCAACACAAGGAGGAGACCTCCTGGGCCTCCTATGGCCACAGTGGGGCAGGTCAGGATGAGGAGACCACAACCCCTCCTACCCAACCAGGTGTCTCAGAGCATCATCCAACCCCTAGGCATTGGTACAAAGTCTGCTCTGATTTTTGCAGTACTGGGTTGATATCAAAAAACATTCCTCTGCATACATACAGGGATGAATATAGAGGCAGATGCCTGCACCTCTTTTTTTTTTTTTTGGCTTGTTTTTAAATAGGATCAGACTTAATTCAGCCTAATTTACCAGCACCAGAGCAAAATCAGATGCCAGGAAAACAGTAAGACTAAAGGACAGTATGAGCCATTCAGATGCTCACCCCAAAGTCAGCCCTTTGCACGAGCATGATACTTGAAAGAAAAGATTCAGGGACGTAGGAAAAAAAAAATCTAGTGGGCTTGTTCTGCACATCTTCTGTAGCGAGACAAGCTGTCCAACATGATCAAGCAGTACAAAAGTTCTCATGAATGAACCTGCACATCACTTCTGCCAGTTTTGATCGGCAGGGTCCCACACCACTATCTCCATATCCAGTCCAAGCCAGAGCTCCTCTGGGAGGCACCCGGATTCGGCTTTGAAGCCAGTCCTGTGCCTTCCTGCCCAAGCTACAGCACTGGCAAGGGGCTGGTAGATGTTGCAGTCACCAAGGCAACATCCCTTCTCTTCCAGGCAGAAATAAGTTAAATTAAGCTAAAAAGCACAAATATCACTGCAAGATCCCCACGAGGTGCTCAGAGAGGAAAACTGACCTGAGGAGAGTTAAGACAGCTTTCCATCACTAATCAGGATTATCTAGAGATGAGGCCAATCACTGTCCCTAAACCAGAGTCCATTTTGAATTATGCATGTGTCCTAGATCCACATTAACATGCCAGTGCCAACAAGGTGGCTGCTGAGGTCTCGCGTCAACCCTACATATTTTATAGGTTTCCTGAATTATTTATTCTCTGCACCTAGTCCGCAGTTAACTCTCAATAGAACAGTTCAGAGGATGCTAATTCAAATAACCTCCCTCCACTGAAAAGATAACTTGTCCTCGGTTAGTCATGCAAACAAGCGAACTTATTTTAAGAAACAGATCTGAACACAGGAAACACATGAAGGTCTTCTCCCTAGTCAGCTCACAACCGAGCCTTCAGATCAATCTAACATCCTGGCTGAGATAAGCACCAGCAGCTCTACACCCAGGACCAGAGAGGCCATTGCAAAATCAAGACTTCAGAGGTTAATTCACCAGGTTCACGTCCCTTCAGCTCTGCTAACGATTTGTTTAGCCAATAAAACATTTCACAGGTCTCTTCATCCCAGGAGGTATTAGCAGTTTGCTTTTTGAGGGCAAAAAGCCTTTCTTTCACAACACAGAGCAATCACTCGAGTACTCTCCACAAATCACAAGTTAAATCGCTGTCCAGCTGCATTTTCGCACCAAGCTCCCCCGTTTGCAAACCCTGACCTTTCTCCAGACAAGCACCCTTGCAGAAGGCATACAAAACCCTATCTAGCAAAACATTTAGACTTGCTGAATTAATTCCTAGAAGATCCTCTGAGATGCCTTTACAAGCAGGGAAGATAGCTTATGTTTTGGGATTTCCTATACTCTCTCCACAGCCTTTAACCAACATGTCCCAGCGCGCAGGGAAGTGTTGGGTGCCTGCAGCGGCTCTGTCCACGATGGGTGCCAGTGGTGACACCCGTCCCGCTTCTCTCAACAGGTCACTCACCAGCACAGTTAAAGCAAACCTGGCAGAACTGGCTACCACCAAACTCCTGCTCAGCACTGAACCTTCACCTCCTCAGTAGAAGACAGCAAAAATAGCAACACGTTGCCATTTTCCCCTTGATGTAGGTGTGGGGAACACAGTATTATGAAACACTTGGGCTCGCTGAGGAGGCCTTTCCCAAGCTAAATGCAATTCTACTAATAGAGAGTCGAGAATGAACTTTATCCGATAAAGCGACTACACTTCTCTTCCTACCCCGACAAAAGGAAGGGGTGGGTGAGGGGAAGACTCGTTTACACGCAAGTGCCCCACGCCCACATTTTGCAAAGGTGCAAACTGACTGTAATTTGCACCTCGGCAAAACGTACGAGACCCAACTAGAGCCGTTCCCAGCAGCCCCAGAAGCGCACCCCGAGCCGCTGAAACACAGAACCTGCGCAGAGACCTGTAATCCTCAACCAAGGAAAGCTACAGCTCCCTCCCCGCCATTGCACATCGCTCTTCCCGCTCCTTACTCCTCGTGAACAACGTTCCTACGGCCAAAAAAAAAAAAAAAAAAAAAAGGAGGAATATCAAAAGCGGAGTGTTTCGGTGCTGCTCCCACCCCAGCCCCTGAAGCACCGGAAAGCTGCTCCGCACCGCAGCATCCCCTCCGGGCAGGAGGCTCATGTCCAGCCCTTCCCCCTGTGCCCCGGTACCTCGGAGCACGCCGGAGTAGGCGGCGATGATGGTCTTCATGGCGGGGGACGCGCTCAGGGCTCGGGCAGGGCCATGGGACGGAGGAGCCCCCCACGCTCCGCAGCCCCGGCGCAGCCAGCGAGCAGGGGAGGCTCCGGCCGCGTATCCATATATAGCCCGGGAGGAGGAGGAGGAGACGCGGGGAGGGTGCAGGGGCGGGCCCGGCGCAGCTCCCGGGTCTCTCAGCACAGCCGCGGGGTGAGGGGAAGCTCCTGGTCCCGCCGGTGCAGATTTCTGCATGGGATACATGGGATCGGGATGAGGGAGCGGGGAGACCAAGCAGACCAAGGCTCCTATACGGCCTATTTCATGCCCTGTTTTACAGAATCGCAGAACGATTTGGATTAGCACGGATGTTAAGACTCATCCATTTCCAACACCCTGCCGTGGGCAGGGACGCCTTCCACTAGAGCAGGTTGCTCTGAGCCGCATTCAACCTGGTCTTGAGCACTGCCAGGGATGAGGCAGCTACTGCTACAGTGGGAAACCTGTGCCAGGGCCTCACCACCACCACAGACAAGAATTTATTCCCAATATCCCATCTAACCCTGCCCTCTGACAGTGGGAATCCATTCTCCCTTATCCTGTCCCTCCATGACCTTGTCCCAAGTCTCTCTCCAGCTCTCTTGGAACCCCTTTCAGCACTGGCAGGGGCTCTAAGGTCCCCAGCAGCTCCACATCCTCCTGATGTTGGAGGCAGCTCTGCAGGTGGGGTCTCACCTGAGTGGGGCAGAGGGGCAGAATCACCTGCTGCCCATGCTGTGAGATCAGCCCAGGCCCAGGACATGGGAGTTTTCTTGCCCCATATGCTTTTCTCACTCCATATGCTGCAACGGTATCCCAGCCTAGATGGATGCATTAATATTTAAATAAATAAACTAATAATAATAAAATCCTTTAGTGCTTCATGGATTATTACAACTGTAAGGAGTAAAGATGCAACCACCACAGACAGCCTCAGCCTCAGCAGCTTCTTTGTGACTTGAAGTTGTAAATTGTGCCACCAAGTTTCTTGTAAGGAAGGAAAATGTAAGCCCCAAACTGATGATAGAAGAGCCTCTACCTTCACAAGGGCATGCAGTTGACACAATCAGGGGAATCCCTTTAAACTGAGAGAGGGCAGGGCTAGAATGAATTCTTGTCTGGGAGGGTGGTGAGGCCCTGGCACAGGTTGCCCACAGAAGCAGTGGCTGCTCCATGCCTGGAAGTGTTTAAGGGCAGGTAGGATGGGGCTTGGATCAGCCTGCTGTAGTGGAACGGGACCCTGCCTTTGTCAGGGGATGGAAACAAGATGGGCTTTAAGGAACCTTCCAACCCAAATCATTCTCAGATTCTTTGACTCCTACTTCTTGAGCAGTGCAGTGCAGTGTCTCACTTGTTTGAAGAGTACTTGTCATGAAACTTATTTTTTCCTCTCCCATCCCACTCACTGAAAATCAGCAAACAGTCCTAAATAATAGATTAGAAATATCTTGCCTGTGTTCACACAAGGATGTTTTTCCCAACAAGAAGCCATACACCAGGTGCTGCTTTGATAATGATTTTGCAAGTACTCAGGACATGTTTTCTTGATGTTTTGGTTGACACAGGAGATACACAACTTTGTCTGTTATTAACCTCTGTGTCTGGCATGATTATTCTTGAAAAATAACATGTTTTCAAATACCCTACTATTACTTCACATGAGTCTGAAAAACATGGGCTATGGACAGAGAAACACAGATAGGAGCCAGTCCTCCGGCTTTCTGCAGCTAAGAACAATTCACAATAGTTTTAGACTCCTTTCTTTAATACATATACTGAATTTTTAGGGCAATGCCTATTGAATAAAGCTTTTGAGAACACACTTATTTTTCCCTTCCCCCTTCTATTCAGAGCCTGCAGAAATCATTTGCAAATTGTGGGGTGAATTTGCAATACTTTGAGTCAGAACTTGGTTGCAGCTCTGTAGCTTTGTTCCTGTACAGCTACTTTGAGGCAGAAAATGCCCTGTTTTCAAAGAATCAGTGTTCAATGTCTTCACCCAGCAGCTTGGATGTATGTAAGATACTTCCTGTATTTGGCTTGTCAGGACAAGCTTACTGGGGAACTAAGCTGAAGAAACAATGCAGATTTAGGTAGTTGTGGGAATTTCTCACTTGGTCCTTCACCCCATTCCTTAGTCTTGAATTCATGAGCTTCAAAGCTCCCCTTAGTCTCTCCTGCTTCTGGCTGTGGCTTCTGGTAAGACCCTTCAAGTCCTTGTTCTTGTGGGTGGGTGGAAGTGTTCTGTCCCCCCAGGTTCACATCACCACGCTTCTGAGCCAGGTGTTATGATTCTAGGACCGCAGAGTGGTACTTTCCAATGCTCCATCACCAGAGAAGTGCCTGCCTGTGGTGGTGTTTGAGGGTCCCCAGGATGAGGGAAGAGATGAGAATCTTGAGTCCATGTTTCAGAAGGTTGATTTATTATTTTATGATATTACATTAAAAGAAAATGATATACTAAAACTATACTAAAGAAAGAGAGAGAGAAAGGAGACATCAGAAGCCTAGCAAGGAAAGGAATGATAATAAAATCTTGTGACTGACCAGAGTCTCAACACAGAGGGACCTGTGATTGGTCATTGAGTACAAACAATCCACATGAGACCAATCAAAGATGCATCTGTTGGTAAGCAACCTCCAAACCACATTCCAAGCAATCAGATAATTATTGTTTACATTTTGTTTCTGAGGCCTCTCAGCTTCTCAGGAGAAAAATCCTAGCAAAGGTATTTTTCAGAAAATATGTCAGTGACACCTGCCATACAAGCAGAAGCCAGCCACACTTCAGACATGCAAAATAAGTGTCAACCAGGGTATCTCTGAACCCATTAATAAATTGTGCATGGCCATTCTTTGCTGTACAAATGACAACCACTGATCATAGAACTATAGGATCATAAAAGCACAGAATGGTTTGAGTTAGAAGGGACATTCAAGATCTTCTAGTCCCAGCCCACTTGCTATGAAGAGAGGCAATTTCCTAGGTTATTCCAAGCCCCATCCAACTTGTCTTTAAACACCTCCAGGGATGGGGTAGCCACAGCCTCTCTGGACAGCATGTGCCAAGGCCTCATGGGAATTTCTTCTTAATCTCTACTCTAAACCTGTTCTTTTTCAGTTTAAAGCCATCATACACTTTCTAACAGGAGCATAACAGGACAACGTGTTACAGACTCATGAAGTCATTCTGAGCCAGGTGATCAGCATGGTCCAGTGACACTGGCTTATGTTTTGCCAGGGTGCAAAGACAGGGTCCACTACCATGTCCAGAGCCAGAAAGAGCTGAGTGAGCAGGGAGCAATGCCTCCCTCCCCAGGAGAGCTCAGCAGAGCCCATGCTGAGGTACCTGTGGACATCTGAGCACCACCGTGATCACTGAACTGGTTGACCTTTGCACATGGAGGATCCACATCACATGGCCAAAAAATTGTCCAAGCCCCCAGCCCATGGCTTATATTTTCAGCCAATTTGCGCTTTACACCCTTCCTGTTCAAAGAGTTTGCTTGGAAGGGGATGTTTGCATGATGGAGCTTTGCAGACCCTGTTCCCCAGAGGGATTTCTGCAGGGAGGGATTTCTACCTTAGGAGTACATTGACACATGAAATCACAGAATGGTTTAGGTTGGAAGTGAACTTAAAGATCACCCAGTTCCAACCCTCTGCCACGGGCAGGGACAGTTTCCACTAGACCAGGTTGTTCAAAACACCAATACCAACACCCCTACCAATACATCCCTGGGACTTCTGCATCCTGGGACATCCCCAGGAAAGAAACTAAGGAAGAGCAGGCATTTATTTAGCTGGTGGGGCAAAGCCTGAATTTATCCAGACTGTGTTAAAAGGAAATCTGACTGATGCAAGAAAGGGACAAGCAGAGGATCAAACACCAATGAGCATGAAATCACAGAATCATTTGAGATGAAGAAGCCCTCTAAGATCATCATATCCAACTGTTAAACCACTAAACCCTGTTCCCTGTGCCACATCCACATGCCTTTCATCTCTGGAATCACTTCCAGAGATGGTGATTCCATCACTTCTCTGGGCAGCCTATTATAATGCCAGACTCTCTCAGGGAAGAAATGTTCTCTTATAACCAACCTAAACCACACCTGGGGCAAACTGAAGCTGCTTCCTATCATCCTGTCACTTGTTCCCTGGGAGCAGAGCCTGACCCCTACCTGGCTCCACCCTCCTGTCAGGGAGTTGGGGAGAGTGAAGAGGTCCTCCCTGGGCCTCCCCAGCTCCCTCAGATGCTCCTGGTGCTCCAGACCCTTTCCCAGCTCTGTTCCCTTCTCAGGGCACACTCCAGCCCCTCAATGTCTTTGCTGGAGTGAGGGGCCCAGAACACCCCCAGCACTGGAGGTGCCTCCAGTAGTGCCCAGCACAGGAGGAAATGCCACATTTCTTCTGTCCTCCTGTTGAATACTGGTCCTGGATCCTTTCTGACGCCACACCACCTATTAGGTATTGTCTGCAAACCTCCATGCTCAGTGTACACAGCCACTATTTTTGTAGTATTGGAGCAAAGAGCATTTCCTCAGCAACTCACTGGTTAATGGTGCAACCACTTCAGAGCCCAAAGCTGTTTTCATAGCACTTGCCCTTTTTGTTCAGGTAGTTAGGTTATTTAACATTTACAGAGGCTTTGAAATGGAGCCATTTCTTCCCCTCCCAAGCTGCACTTACACCTCCTCTTTTTCACAAGTGGAAGCAAACTTCAGGCCAAAACTGCAAGAGAGACACTTCACAGTGAGTTTTGTGTTAGAGGGCATTAATTTATTTTTTATTTTAAAATCTCACTCTCATTTTTTCCCCAGCAGACAGATAGGAAGATTTATGCAAGTCAGGGAGCAAAGATTTTGGCTGTTGGCAGCAAGTCATGGTAGAGCTGCCTAGCTGCAGTCTAAAATTAGAGCACATAAAAATTAACTGTATGTCCAAAGAACTTTGGTCCCTGTGCTGAATGAGCACTACTTCAGCACAGGAGAGAGACCAGGTGGAGAATTACTAATAGACAGTTGAGCAGCTCCACTTTTAATCCAATTGCAGAGTGTTCTGTAAAACAAG